CATGTGGATAAATCGAAGGTGGTGCAAGGCCACTTCTCTTCCGTGTTGGATAAAGCCCATAAGCGTCAGAGAGACTTTAGTTGGGACATTCTTCGGTTCGCCAACTATGACCTCTCCAGCATTGGGCACCCGTTTTTCGGGGAGCTGGGCAGAAGGAAAAGAGGCTCCTAATTAAAGTTGTCTCACCCCCTCTCATGGGTTCTATACCGATTCATAATTAGAAAACTTCTTTGGTCCTTCACTAACTCGGGCTAAAAGCCCTGAAATCGAAAATGCCAAAATAGGAATAAGGCTTGCTATTGTTAGAAATGTCCAAAAAATATCAAAGGGCTCATACTTCAGCGCTGCAGTGCTTGGTACTCGGACTCTACTGAATTCCAGCATGGGTGTGGTAGATTCTGATGTGATGTGACACCCAGATTCAGAGAATCGAAGGCCCACATGTTCTAGCTCAGAGATCCATGTCTTCTAGAATACGACTATAGCTTTGGTATAGATAGACCACGATAAATAATTACTTGTGTAGTATAACGTATTGATAGGACAATACTCTTGTGAGGTGAGTTGGGGCCCATGTGAGGTGAGTTGAGTACAAGCTCTTCTAGAAGGTTCTGGGCAGTAGGTGTTTGTTATTTGCAAAATGCAAATAAACCAGAGTTTGGTTGTGAGATTTGGTGCGGTTGGTTTAGTCACTAGAGTGACGCAAATTTGTAGAACAAATGGGTCCTTCTAGCTAGCACTTGGTGCACCACTTGAAAGAAGGGACCAGAATGCAAAAATGGAAGAGGGGTTTGAATGCAAAAGTTTTTAATGGGGCTAGGGACTTTTCTGAAGTATACTTGGTCCAAAGAAACTATGATAATTATCTAGGAATTTTTCTAAGTACTGAAATGGTACTTGCTTCATAACTTAAGTGCTCTAGGGCACATATTCTTTTGAGAAAAGAATATGATCTTAGGGTTTTGGGTTAGGGGTGAAAGTGATGTTTCCCTAGGGAGAGAGATAGCTAGGGAGAGAGGTTTTTTGTTGGTTTTATGTTGGTTAAGTCTAGATAAGTTGACTAAGAAAAACCAATGCAGAGAACCAGCAAAAGAAACTATAGCAGAAAAAGAAAAGGTAGGGGCCAAAAACCAGGGTGTTACACGTGAAGCCAGACCTCTATGAGTGCTCTACATGGTAGGATCAAAGCTATTCTAAAAACTAGATCCGAGAAGGAGGTGATTGACGCCATCACACAAATACCTAAAGCCAAGCCTCCAGGCCTAGATGGTTTAACGAGGGCTTCTTTCGATGCATGATATCATGGCTATCATCAACAATTTTCCCGGTCTCTAAGCCAAGCACCTTAAGTGGGTTAATTCGGCCAACATTGTGCTCCTACCAATGAAGAAGGGTGTTGAGTGCATCTCGTACTTTGGATCGATTATCCTAATCTGTGTGATCCTCCGGATTGTAATTGTAGCCAAGATGTTAGCTACCCGGTTGGCTCCTTTTATGCACAACCTAATCTCCCTCTCCCAACAAAGTAGCGGGTGGTGGTGAGTGAAGCCGACGAGGATGAGGTTGACGACGTGAGTGTGGGCACAATTCCAGAAGATGCAGAACGATGGCCACCAACACACACAATAGCAGGGGAGCCTGATAACATGGTTCACGACCCGGAAGAAACAGGCTGAAGGAAACCAGGTGATGTGGGAGCGGTCGAGCCAAGCGAGGCCGGGGACGGGTTGCAATGATGCTTGGCAATCGGGGAGCCGTATTGCGAGGGGGTGGATGCATGAGGGTTGGTCCAGCTGCATGTGTGATGGTCGTAGAATCAGCATCGGGTGCAACGGATGTCACGCCGACACTTTGATACTTCTCCAACATATCTACTTTTTCAAACACTTTTGCTCTTGTTTTGGTTCAAAACTGAAATTTGCTCCATCAATGATGGAGAGATATTCTTAGGGTCCGGTGTGATGGTAGCACCATCGCCTAGTCACACACAGCGTGACTTGTTCATGGGGATGCCATAGCACGGAAATGAGAAAACATAACAAAATTGGTAACATGGAAACTGGCATAGTGATCAAGTGTTGAACCACGGGGAACTCGATAAATCTCACCTCGGATTTTGTAAAGTATCGCGAAGCAAAAGGAATAGCACATGGGAACAATAGATTCACTCAATAATTATTCGTGTGGGTATAGGGGTTAATATGGTTATCCACGGTTCCGCTATTGATCATTGAACGGAAGAAGTTTCAGCCATGTCTATACCGAACCTGTGAGTCACACGCTTATGGATCACCGATCTATTGAGTATTAGAAGTGTAGGATCTTATGTAATTTGCACCGAGAAATTTTCGGGTAAGGAGAGAGAACCGGGAGCTTTTGGAAGAAAACCAGGAAAGCCAAAGGACCGAAAAAGTTCCGGTTAACCCTAGAATGCATCTGGACGATGAAAAGGTTTTGAAAAGTCCTATAATATTTTGAAGTACGCCACTTGGCACGAGCAAAGTGCGGCACACTACATGGCCCACTTGTCCCATTAGTGGAGGCTCAACCCCCTTGGGTGTGGCTAGGGTTGAAGGAGGGGACACACACCTTGGGGGCAACCCTCTCTCCAAGATGGCTACCTCCTTTGGTCTACTATAAATAGAGGGGAGGGGCAGCCCTTTGGAACACATCTTTTTATGTGCCCATGGTTACGTCTCCCTCTCTCTCTCTCTCCTGCAAGTGGCTCCACGCCGCAAGGTGTT